TGAGATGTTGGTCAACTCCATCTCTGTCCACTGCATACCTGCCGTATGTGCCTGATACATCCTAGATTCCACCGGGGGTGGTTGCAGAATAATGGAAATGATGAAACAGGTCACATGATCTAGAACTTACCACCTGCCAAGTGCTTCATGCACTCAAGCCATGGTCCCTCATCCCAAACCCTGGGGCCAGTGTGTTTTGCATTTTAGAAAGCTAACCCGTCTGCCTGGCCCAGCCTAGCGGTCAAGGGTGCATGTTCAGCAGTCAGTACAAATTTGGGTGACTCTGCTCAGGGGACTTAATCCCTCTGTGCTCCAGGCCCCTTATCTGGACAGTGGGGACAAGAGCACTGTGGTCCCCAGCCTGGACCCTGGGGACTCAGAGCTGGGTCACATCTTCCTTGTCTTGCCAGGGTCCAGGCTGGGGACCGATGCGCATATATTAGATAGCCCCCCACCCCAGCAGGGTCTGGGTTTCACCCTGAAATCTAGCACTAAGGTTTTTACAATGAAATTTCTCAAAGTCACACTTAAGTGGGGTAAAAATTACCTTAAATAGCCTCATGTCCATTCAGGTCAGGGACTGTCATCAAAAAGAGTTATGAAAAACTTCCAGTGTGCAGAGCTTTTGGATTTTGGAATAATGAGTGAGACGATGGATGAGGACTCGTTTAATCCTCATAACCCCGTGTGAGTGTGCAAAGACGCTTGGTCCTCGGGAACTCACCGTCTGAGATATAGACCAGCGGGAGCTATGCCACGCGTTGTTCTAAGTGCTCTCCACACATCTTCCAGTGACACCTGAGAAGGTGCTCTTGTCCCCACTGTCCAGATAAGGGGCTTGGAGCACAGAGGGATTAAGTCTCCTGAGCAAAGTCACCCAAATTGGTACCGACCGCTGAACCTGCACCCTTGACCGCTAGGCTGGGCCAGGCAGACGGGCCTTGTTAAAGGACCCTCCAGGTTTTGCAGGCACAGTGGACCGTGTGGGGTCTTACCGATCCTTCACTAACGAGAGGCACCAGTGGTCCACCACTGGTCCGCCACCGAGGTGTCTCCCAGCAGGGTCCATCAGACAGATTGTTCTCCCTTGCTAGGCAGGCTCAGAGAGGTCGAGCAGCTTACTCAAAGCCACTCAGTTCATGACACGGCCTGGTCCAGCTCTTTGCATACCCCTCCCTGCTCTTGTGTCCACGCTACATATGGAGGCTCGGAGGGAGTGGAGTTTGGTACTGCTGACCCCTCCCAAATCTCCTCTGCTTCTCTGCCATCTTTCCAGCCATTGAAGCCATGAAGAAGGCCTACCAGGAGGAGCTGAGCCGGGAGCTGAGCAAAACACGGAGTCTTCAGCAGGGCCCAGACGGCCTCCGGAAGCAGCATCAGTAAGATGGGCCCTAGGGTCTGTGGGTGGCGCCTCTCTCCCAGCCAGGGGCCCAGGTGCCCACACTGGTGGTTATGACCTGTGCTGAGGCCCCTTGGCAAAGGACATGTCAGTTTGTCCTCAGCTGAGACTCCCACTGTGACTGTGTGGCCCACGGAACAGAAGCAGTGGGACCTCAGCCAGACCTCCCTGCTATCCCCTTCAAGCGTTCTTCAAGGCCCTTCTGGGAGCTGGTCTCAGCCTCCCCCACCCCTTCCCTTCCTTAGTGTCCCCTAGAACTAGATTGCAGCATCACCCTCAGCCATTCAAGGTCCCTCCATGCCACAGAGCACGGTTCTGGAATGTTGGGTCTTTAGAGATAGGCTTTTCCAACCCACCTCTTCATTGATGAGGCAATTGCAAAGAGGCTGTCACTGGTTCACAGTGACTGACTAGGGTGGGAATACAGGAGTCCTGAGTTGTGACCTGAATCTGAGACCAAGCGAGCCCATGCCGTCCCGCCCCTCCTCCCCTGGCAGGTCAGACATGGAGGCGCTGAAGCGGGAGCTGCAGGTGCTGTCGGAGCAGTACTCACAGAAGTGCCTGGAGATCGGGGCCCTGACGCGGCAGGCCGAGGAGCGGGAGCACACGCTGCGGCGCTGCCAGCAAGAGGGCCAGGAGCTGCTGCGCCACAACCAGGTGGGCCTGGCCCCGGGCTGGGGGTGTGAGTGGCCCCGGCGGCCCTGCTCTGACCATCTCCCGCCCCCAGGAGCTGCATACCCGCCTGTCCGAGGAGATTGACCGGCTGCGCGGCTTCATCGCCTCGCAGGGCACGGGCAATGGCTGTGGGCGCAGTGAACGGAGCTCCTGTGAGCTGGAGGTGAGCAACACCATCATCCCGGGCAGTCCTCGGGGCCCGGGCCTGGGGAGAGCACCCGATAGGCTGGTGTGCCCAGCAGCGCAGGTCCAAGGGGCTGGGCCCCGGCGAGGAGACAACCGGTGCAGCTGGGAAGGACTCCTGTGTGCCCAGCACTACCGCAGCCAGAGTCCAGCCCTCTATCCCAATCCTGTTCCCTACCTGCCGTGTGACCGGGGCAAGTCGCCTCACCTTTCTGAGCCTCAATCACTCATCTGTAAAATGAGGCTAGCACCTTGCTTACTGAGAGCAGGTAGAGTGAGAAACGTGCGTATGATCCCAGGATCACCCTTGTATTTTATTTTACAGACATTTATATACAGCTTTACTTCGCGCCTGGAACTTCTGTAAGCCTTTTGTATCTTAACTCACTAAATCTTTCTAACAGCCTTGGGAGGTACATGCTGTTACTATCCCCATTTTACAGATGAGGAAACTGAGACACAGGGAAGTCAAGTACCTTGCCCAAGGTCACACGGCTAGTCTAGTTTGTGTGAGAGCTGAGAGTTGAACTTGGCAGTCTGGCTACAGAGTCTAAGCTTTTAAGCCTCCCCAGTATGGCTGAACCTATCTCTTCCTTGGTCAGGTCAGGAGAGCAACACTCCCCCTCAGGGCTTGGGGAGAGGTTAATGAGGTAGTCTGCAGGGAGTCCTAGCCTCTCTGGTTCACAGTAGGGCTACACGGTGGCTTCTTTTTGTCTGGTGCCACAGCAGAGGTGACCGTGAGACACCTACTCACATGGTGTGGACCAGGTAAGAGCAAAGAGAAATCAGGGCGTCCTCTGGAGGAGTCCGACCCTGGGGTGTAGTGGTTCTTAGTGCAGGTTGGGACCTGAATTCTAGGGACCTGAGACAGAGAGAAGCCAGGCTGTGGGGCACCATGGGCCGGGCAGCGCTGGCCTCTGGCCCTGGGTCAGCCTGGCATCCGTGACCCCAGGTGCTGCTGCGCGTGAAGGAGAACGAGCTCCAGTACCTGAAGAAGGAGGTGCAGTGCCTCCGGGACGAGCTCCAGAGGATGCAGAAGGTCGGTTCCGGTCAGCTGAAGAGGGGTGTCAGTGGCTGGGGGACCTTTGGATCCACCTGGGTGTCCCATCCTGTAAGCACTTGCTCGGTGCCAGGCACTCCTCATGCCTCTCCCACGGAGGTGTCATTGTCACCATTTACAGATAAAACTGAGGCTAAGAAAGGGTAAGTGACTTGCTCAAGGCCACAGTGCTTTTATTTATTCAGCAAGTATTTATTGAGCACCTGCTATGTGCCAGGGAGACAGTTTTGAGTAAAAAAGGCCAAAATCCCTGCCTGTGCATAGCAGGCATTCTAGTGAGGAATAAGCTGCATTACTAGTTGGTCAGGCTGGGATTTGGGCCCAGGTCTGTAAGTCTGGCTTGCCTGGTGCCATGTCCCTGTGTCTGTGTGTTGGTGGCTCTGGGAGCATGCGTGAGAGTCTGGCTTGCCTGGTGCCATGTCCCTGTGTCTGTGACACCCTCTGTGTGTTGGTGGCTCTGGGAGCATGTGTGAGCTAGACTCATGGAAAAGGCCCAAGCACTGGGCCAGACTGACCTGGTTCTTATCCCACCCACTCGCTGCCCTGTGACCTTGGGCAAAAGCTTCACCTCCCTGAGCCTCAGCTCTCATCTTGAGCAGCATGCGAAGGATGCTGAAACCTGTCACTGGGTGGTGCTGGGAGGAGCTTGCTCAGGGCTGGGGGCTGCCAAGGGGGACACTGGGAGAGACAAGGCCATGAGAGCTATGGAGGGGTCTGGCTGCTTTATGCTGGCCGGCAGGGAGCATGGTGGGCATGTGCCAGGTAGGGAAGGCTTTGAGCCCTCATAGCCCCTCCCTGCCCCTCCCTTCAGGATAAGCGCTTCACCTCGGGGAAGTACCAGGACGTGTATGTGGAGCTGAACCACATCAAGACGCGGTCAGAGCGGGAGATCGAGCAGCTGAAGGAGCACCTGCGCCTCGCCATGGCCGCCCTGCAGGAGAAGGAGGCGACGCGCAACAGCGTGGCCGAGTAGAGGTGGGCGCCACGGGGCTGCGGCCAGGAGGGGGCACTGGGCCTGGAGGTGTGAGCGCAAGGCTCATACACACCCGACTCACTGTGCCACCTGGCCTGGGGTCTTTCCTTCTCCTGACCTCTGTTTCCCTTTCTGTAAATGGAGAGAGTGACACCAGCAACCTGGGGTCATTGTGGGGATCAGTCGGACTCTGCCAGAGGCCGCTTTGTAAATTTGAGCATGTTTCTTCAGAGATGGGGAAGTACAGTTTGGGATCTGATTATAGCCATGTCCCCCTGTGTGACAGCGGGACTTCTTAACACTGCACAGCCACCGCCTGATTAGTCTGTGATTCTCCTCAGGGCTGGCAGTGCCCCTGGCTGGTCTGCCTCGGCTTGGGTGGCAGTCCCGTGTCCCCGCCCACTTCGAGCCTGGCAGCAGGCATGCACGCATCACTGATCACGGACAGCATTCCTTCCACCGAGCTTTGCGCTTGGGCATCTCGATCAAGGAAAGCTGCTTTCTAACAGGTCCCTGTGGACTTCCTAAGGCACTTGAGAAAGGCTACCCTGTGGGCCAGGCTATTTGGGGAGAAGCCCAGAGGAGGAGATCTGGCCTAGCCTTTAGGGCCAAGAGGCATTGGAAGAAGCTGGAAGAAGCCCCTGGCCGCCTCTGCCTGGCCTAAGCTATGCTGGGGCCCAGGGCCAAGACCGGGGCTTCCCCAGCCCTCAGCTCCCCCACTCTTGTCTTCCAGGTCCCTATGGTCCAGCCCCGCAGCAGACCCCCAGCCCAAGGGGACCAGTTGTCCTCCTTCCCTGCCGGATGGAAGTCAGAAGCCAAGCTTTCTCCCACCCTCTGTGGGCCACACGTGCACTCACACCCACCACACACATGCACACACATGCACAGGTGCACACACACCACACACAGGCACACACACATCACACACACAGGTGCACACACATCACACACAGGTGCACACACACGTAGGTGCACACACATACTCTGCGTATCTGAGCGCGCCCCTCGCACTGTGTCTTACCTTGCACCTTCAGGATTTTATATGTGAAGAGATTTTTATATAGACTTTTTCCTTTTTTTTCTCCCAAAACACTTTGTACTTTTTAAAAAGCAGTTCCTGATAGCTGCGTGCTTCCGACTCTGGCTCTCCCTCTGTCTCCGGCCTCCCGCTTGGGCTTCTGGGCCCCCATGGCCCTGTCCCCGGGTCTGGCAGCGGCCATGGCAGAGTTGACTGATCAGGGAGGCAAAGAGCCAGCTACCCTCCTCCGACCCTACCCCCTACTAACTACTTCCTGCCCTGAGAGTACCCGCACCCTGGGACTCTGGATGGAAGGACAGATGGACAGAGGGAGCCAGCTGCTGTCCCCACGGCCCCGCCTCCTCTGAAGGGTGCTGGGCATGGAACCGCCGGAGCCGCCCCATGAAGACGTTTCTCTCCTAAAGAATCCATCAGCCTTCGTAACTTAATAAAATGTTCCAGCAGCTCTGGCGTCCTGGGTGGCTGGGGCAGGGCGGGTTAGAGAGGTTGGGCTTTCTTAGCCCCCTGCCCTCTAGCACTCCACCCTTCCTGGAGGATGGCATGTGGGCTCCTGAGGGCGGAGCTGAGAATCTAGTTCCCCACCAGGCTCCACGTGGGGTTTGCAGACCAGCAGCACTACGTCGCCATCAGGGAACTCCTTAGAAACACCAAGGCCAGGCCCCACCCGACCTACCGACTCAGAGTCCACACTTGCACATGGCCCCCCAGTGGTTCACGTGCACCTCGAAGTCTGAGCAGCCCTGGAGCAGGTGCTGGGCCCAAGCCTCAGAGAGAACTGGAGCTGAGACTGCCCCTGACTGACCTCGTCAAACCACGTCCATTCTGAGTCTTGATTGCTTCTCCATCAAATGGGTGCCTTTTAGCCTCACTCTGATATTCAGGCTGTGCCCAGAAGTCATGTCCTGTCCTGGGCAGGGTTGGGTTTGGGGCACTGGATGTGAGGGGCTTCATCTGGCCAGCTGGCTGTGCTGATCATGGTGGGGCTGGGAAGAGGCCCCGTCCTGCAGGCCTAGCCCGTGTCCGATCTGCAGGGCTGTGGCTACGATGATGAAGATGAGACGACAGCTTGAGCTGGCCTCACCTGCACGGCTGTTCCCATCAAACTCAGCCACATGGGTGCATAGAGGTGAAGTGAACAGGAACTGGCCCTGTCCCCACCAAGGCCACCGAAATAGACCACATCAGGTTGGGTCCCAGAAAGCTGTGGGAACCCAGAGGAGACCTCAACCCAGCCTGCAGGTCAAAGAGAGCTTTTGGGGGTGGCTTTGAAATATGACTCTTCCGGATGGAAAAATCAGGAAGGGCGTTCCAAGCGAGGGAACAGCACAAGCAAATGCCCCGTGAAGATCCCTGCTGTGTTCAGAGAAAGACCCACCCGGGAGCAGGCATGTGGGGTGTGGGACAATGGACCCCATTCCGTTGCCAGTGGGCATATGGCGCATTTCCAGCCACTGAGATGCCAGGGGAAGTCGGGTGGGGGCGGAGGGCTAGAGGAGGTCATCTGGGAAAGTCTTCCTTGCTATTAAAAAGGGTCACAAGGAAGGGTGGCTTCTCTCTCCTGGCCTTCGGACAATGTTGGTGAAGTCCCCAGGTTGCCACTGGCTTGCTTTATCAATATGCTACAGATGGCTGAGAAGGAAGAACCAGGACCCTTGAGTCATCAGATCACCAGGCTTGGTGCTGCCCTCCTCAGGACTTCTCGTCTCGTAAGATAAGGAGCACCCTTGAGGCACTCGGAGACGGAATGTCTGCCCCTGGCGGCCCAGACAGTTGAGTCCAGAGCCCTGCCTGTCATCACCGTTGCCTCCCACCAGCGCTCCTGGGTTCACAGTAGCTGGAGGGAGCACATACTTCAAGAAGCAAATGGCCAACAGGCGTGGAAGAAAAGGAGTCTGCTGAGTTTCCTTGGGCCACAGGGTGGGAGTTGGGGAGGACAGAGAAGTCTTATCATTTCCTTGTCACCAATGGGTCAGATTTGATTCCTCCCTTTTCTAAGGCCTGGAGCTCCAGCCCCACCCCATCCAGGGGCTCCAGGACCACCCAAGCCTCTCAGCCCTAGGGACTTGCAGCGCCTCTGGGTAGATAGGGGACAAAGTCACCCCACAACATCGCCACCTCAAAGCACTAATAGTGTAGACTCCATCCTCCCACCTACATCCTTCCCTCTCTTCAATGCCTTGTTTACACCCCTGCCCCTGCTCCAATGCTGGATGCACCTCCCTCACCCCGCACAGATGCTGTGGGGGTCAGACGAGGAAGGAGTAAGCTCAGGGCCAGGGGCAGACAGCTCTCCATCTGCATCCTTGCTCCCAGCTCTGCAAACTTGGTCTAGTTATATAGCTTTTCTGTGCCTGGTTTCCTCCTCTGTAAAATGGTGATAGTAGTGCATACCTTGCAGAAGTGTTGGAAGATCAGAAATGAGCTAATACATGTCAATTGCTGAGAAGAATGCCCGGAACCTAGTAAATACAGTACAAGTGTTGCCTGTTATTGTGGTGGTTATTGTTATGGGGTGGTTATGAGGATTAAATTAAATTATGGAAGTAAAATGCATGGCACAGGGCCCAGAATACAGGAGCTACGATTTTATTAGTATTAGTCAGAAGTCAGCTGGATGCCCCTGCCCTCCAGCATCCCCAGGAGATCTGGTTAAACTTGGTCCACATCCCAATTCCATGGTCCGTAAGAGTCCAGACCCCGTCCTTCCACTTTGGCAGGTTCTCACCTGTCACTTTTCCTGAGACTTCCTTTCTCTTGGGATGGGATATATTGTTAGGTATAAACCCTTGAGTGGTTCCACAATAAATCCTCTTGAAAAGAATGTCCTATGAGAAGCTCAACACATTGCCCCTTGCACCATCTCGACCCCTGCCGCGTAGAGGCACCGAGCAGTCTGTGGGGTGGGGGGGGGGTCCAACCTGGCCACTGGGAACGGCCCAGCTCCTCTTCCCTCTACCCTTTCTTGCTCTTGGCTGCAGCTCCTTATCCTGGTCCCCACAACGTCCAACCTGGCCACTGGGAACGGCCCAGCTCCTCGTCCCTCTACCCTTTCTTGCTCTTGGCTGCAGCTGCTTATCCTGGTCCCCACGAGCATGGCCTCATTCAGCTTCTTCCCAGCGCCCAGCCTCTGGTTTTACCGCTCCTGTCTAATTTGCATGCCGGCACTATGGGCTTTCTAAAACAGAGCTGGCGGTGGTTTCATGAAGCCCGATCCTGATCCTGTTCTTCCCTTAGAACCGAGTGTTAGCACATGAGCCCCTCAGGCTGCTGCAGCCCCTTCTCCCTGCCCCTTCAGGCTTCCTGGGCTCCAGGTTTCCACGTGAAGCTACCTGCAGCTCCCCAGGGTACCCACGCACTCAGCATCCTCACTGCTCTCCTTATGTACCTGCCCACTCCCCAGCCCTCACCTGATAGAGTCAGGACTCAGATCGGTCATTATCTGCCACCTGGCAGCCCTCTCAGATCCTCCATATGGAGCTAGATAACTGCTCTGGCTTCCATAGCCCCTCCACTTGACATGCTTTTCTGTGTAGCCCCCTTGACTTTGAACTCTTTGAGGTCAGGGACCAGTTCTGATTCACTTCTGTTTCCCCAGAGCCCAGCACAGAGAACACTGAGTCTCAGCTGGATGAGTGTTTGTTGATTGATTGACTGACTGACCAACTGACCGGAAGTGAATGACTACCCAGCCAGGCACCTTCTGGCACAGCCACGGCCTCAGCCCCACCTGCATGCCAAATGGCAAAGGGCTGGGTCTCCCTATAAACCAGCTTGGAAGCTCAGCAGCCAGCCCCAATGGCTGGGAGTTAATGGCAGTTTCCAGCACATGAAAGGGCCAGGCTGTAACTGTGAGTCAACCCTGTCATCCCAGCATTCCATTTGGACTTTATGAGGGCCCTGTGGGCTCTGAGGCCCAGGGAGGAAGGAGCTTACTTTGAGCTTCTGCCATGAACAGACTTTATAGACACCATCCCTATTAATGCTCGCAACCACCCTTTGAAGTGCCCATTGCTGTCCCCATTTATAGAGGAAGAAACTGAGGCTCAGAGAGGGGACATGACTCAACAAGGTCAAGAATTTAGTGACACATCTTGGCACGTCTGGCTCCAGAGCCCAAATCTTCCCTTTACTCAGGCCACCTGCCCTAACAGTAATATCTACCTTTTGCTGAGCACTTACAGTGTGCCAAGCTCTGCAATAAGCATTCACATTCATTACCTCCTTTAAACCCCAGAACAGCCCAGTGAGGAAGATGCAAATTATCCCTACTTTATAGGTGAAGAGGCTGGGACTCAAGAGCAGCGAAATCACCTGGTCACAGAGCTAGAGTCCAGGTCCGTGGGTCTCTCACAATGTAAGTGGCTTCCCAAGCCAATCCAGGTCCTCTCATTGGAGACCACCTGGAGACCAGGTGCTTTGGGTCCTCACTTGAGCTGTAGGTGTGGGGGAGGTCTGGATGTACCTCTGCGAGGCTGAGTTGGATGAGCCACCTCCACACTCCTGCCTCAGTTTCCCTAGTAAAGCAGAACAAGAGCTCCAAGGGGGCCAGGAAGGCTGGAGGCACCTAGAAAAGGCAGGAGGGTGTTCCAGGGGTGGGTGTCCTATTGGCTAGCCCTCACCCCTTCACCATCATGCAGCTCCAGACTCACCCCATAGGGGGAGCCAACCACACTGCCTTCCCAAAGCTTCTCCACTTGCTCCCTGCATAGCCCTCTGTCTCCACTCCCTGGGCTCCCAGCCAGACCCTCCCCAGCCCTGGCCACCCTAGACCCAGTCAAGCACCCTCTCCAAGTTCCCTTGCAGCTCCTTGAGGCCATGGCTCAATGAGGCCCGCGGCCATCTCTGTGTCTCCATCTCCCCTGTCAGTGCAGGGCAGAGGCCTGCATCCCAAAGACGGTCACTCGGCCCGGCCACCAACTGGTCCTGTGATCTTGGGTAAAGCATCTCCAGAGTGAGGCCCCAGCCTCAGGAGTGGGGCAGCTGGCAGCACTGGCTGAGCCAGTCTGAAAGGTGACTAATGGTGGACACACTTCGCCAGCCATGCGACCTGACCGCATGGAGGAGGAGGAGCCGAGGGGGAGCTGATGAGAGACCTGCTCGTGGAGCTGGCCAGCTGTGACCCTCTGGACTCCAGCAGATTCTCACGTTCGCCTGTTTCCTCAGGAAGACAGATTTGTGGGTGTCTCCGACCCCACACCCAGGATCCCCCCATAACCCAGGGCCCAGCCTCATGCATTCTCTCGCCTCTTCCCTATTCATTCATTGACCCATTCATTTAACCAAAGACTGTGTCTATACAAGGGCATTCATCACAGCACTGGAAGTAGGAAGTGTTTAAATAAACTTACCACCGTGGGTGCCAAGCGGTTATTGAACAGTGAGGGAGTTCTCTGTGTGCCGGTGCAGAGAGCGACAAGATGTATTGTGAGGTAAACAAAGCAAGGTGCAGAACCAGGTGTGTAAAAGAAAAAAAATATGGCAGGTACAGACTGACATATGTGTGTATATGTTCTTAGAACCTCTCTGGAAGGATTTGCACACGTACACACACATGCACATGCACACACACACACTCAGAGTGAGAAAACCCAGTGTGAAGGGGGCCGAGACAAGTAAGAACCAGAAACAGCAGCTGCCTCAGGCAGGGGGTGGGAAGGCTGAGGGACACGGGTAGAGGGACTCATTTCTACATTATACACTTTTATACCTTCTGAATGTTTCCCAGCTGCATGTGATCTCTATTCCAATATAAATAAAAGTTTAAAACAGAATGAGGCAGCCCCAAAGGGAGCATGGTATGGGGACAACAGCGCTGGAGCTAAGCTCGGGGTTCACTTTCTGGTTCTGCTGCGTACCTGCCCCAGTCCATTACCTTCTGAGACCTGTTTCCTCCTCACCTGAGATGGGATTAGTGCATGGGATTGAAGTGAGGTCATAAGGGTGCTGCTCCTGCCATGTGCCTGCCACACCGTGTGGCAGCTGTTATCACTACTGTTAATGTCCTAGTCGGGCCTGTTCCAGGCACCGGATGACACAGACATGAAGGGATACGCCCTTCCCCGCCCCTTTCCCCCAGGGAATAACACCAGGGAAGACCATGACACAACTGACCCTGTTGCAAGAGCCAGGGCAGGCTGCAGGCTGAGGTGACGCGGCCTTGCCAAGTCTTCAAAGATAAGTAGACATAATCGAGAGATGGAGAGGAGGAAGGACGCTCCAGGCAGGAGCAGCAGGCTGGACCCACCTGTAGACACGTCACATAAACAGTTGTAGATGCGCGCAGTCATAAACACCTGTGTGCCACACCTGCCCCATGCTACACACACTCCCCTACTCACACATACAGCCCACACATGTGCCTATATATGCTCTAGGTGTTTCCAAGCCAGGCTGAGCATGCGGGGCACGGCAGCTTGGGGGTGCACACTGGGGAGAGACTGCTGACTACCTGTGTGACCCCAGGCAAGTCACTTAACCTCTCTGTGCCTCAGTTCCCTCCTCCCTAACCTGGGGATAACAGTACCCACCCGATACGGATGTGAGGGTTACATAAGGCAGTTCCCGTAGAGTACTGAGAACACTGTTTAATAGACATTTTTTATTCTAGAGCCACTGGATCAGAGGCCAGCTGCTCTGGATGGAGAGAAGGTGCCAGGATCATTGTGTCTTCTTAGCCTGGGAGCCCCTTGAGGGCAAGCTGCAACGATGTCCCTTCACTCAGCACAGTGCCAGCTCTCAACTAGGAGGCCCAGCGAGAGTTAACTGACAGTGTGAACACTGACAGCTGACGGTGTTAACTGCCTAGTGTATAAAATTGAGAACAGAGTTGCTTTGAGATAGTCAATCTCACTTTCATCTCCCCTCTGAGATGGGAGTTTCACGACGATAGGGTTCATGTCTGATTTGTCTTTGTTCCCAGCACCAGATTCTGACAAAGAGTGATCATCAGTGAGTGAATTAGTTAGGATATAGTTGGCTGTAAGTGGCATTACCAATAGCTTAAACAAGAAAGATGTTTATTTACCTTATCTGGAAAAGCCCGAAGGGAGGAATCCCAGGCTGAGCCCCAGCGTCTGAGATCCAGACTCCTTACATTTTTATGTCTAGGACCTAGACTCCGTCATGCACATCCTCCGTTCACAAATGCAGCACATGGTCCAAGATGGCTGCTCTACTCCAGTCAACACATCTTCATCCCAGCCAGCAGGTAGGAGAAGAGAAATGAAGGCAAGACAAAGAGCCTATGCCAGCTTTTCTTAAGGAAGCCCCAGCACAACACTTTCACATATTTCTTTGGCCAGAACTTGGTCACATAGCCACTCCTAGTTGCTGGGAAATGCAGTCTCCATTTTGGGTGGCCATATGCCTGAGCCAAACATCAGAGGCTATATCCTTGTGCTCCAAGGGGATACGGATAGTGGCTCCATCATTATCAGTGTTTGCTACCTCAGCTAAGATTCAGAGAGCTTTCAGGAATTCTTTTTC